TCATGTGCATCAAAAGCAATACAGCAATTTTGTCCAAACTTGCAACGAACATGTTCACTATTTTTGTATAACTACATCATTGTAACTTGTTTTTCTTATCCACGTGACTCTATGAATAAGTGCTCTCCCATCTATGACATGTTTTGGTTGAATAATACCATCCTGTTGCTCGGCTGGAACAAATTCAGTAATAGCATTTAATAACTGAGTTTGGTGTTTTTTGCGCGTGCCATTGTGTTTAAGAGTGACATTGGTACATTGGTGTGTTCGTAGTCCTAGTATCTTCTTGTATCATTTTCTCTTTGGACTATTTTGATAAGTCTTGTGAAAAGAATTAAAGGATTGATGATCACTTTTTCTGTCTCTACTCTTATTTCTGGCATTAGAGTATCCTAAGTTTTCACATGTTCATTTCTTTTTATTGCTAATTTTGCAATACAACATTATTTATTAGTCTGTGTAGTTTTGATCCAACCATTGTTGTTTTGTCACAATTTACTCCATCACCTGTGCAAGCTGTTAGGCCTGGGGAAAGGGAGCGTAATTTATCATCATGTAGATCAAACGGATTTTGCTCATCAAACCACTCTTGTAATTTGATTAAATGATGTATGTCGTGACTACTCCTTGATGTATCAAGTTCAGCTTGTTTTGCTCACTAGATGATAACTTGTGTTCCGTGAATGTAGTCACGGCATCATGAACATTTTTAAATGCTATAAACCCGCTGTAATTGAACCGATTCTGTTGATCCATGACCTCTTGTTAGTCCTCCACAACTCTTAATAGATCTAATCATAATTTGTTTAATTGTTAAATTTGTCCATAAACTAGCCCAATATCTACTACTTCTACAAAGAGTGCGATACCTAATACAGTTGTACAGCCAGGAGTAATCGGTGGGCAATTCCAACATCTGCTGCAAAAAGAGTCTTGATCGTTCAGGATGATTAAAGTGACCAGTTTCTGCAAAGAGATTTAGCATCTTTTCAACAGATACAAGATGCATATTCCTATCACCTACTCTCTCTGCTCTAATAAATACAATTTCACAATTTCTACATATTTGATGTATTGCAACCAGATTTTTGCTGTTCTTGAATTATCAGCAAAATTCTAGTATTATTAGCTCATTACAATCTGTTGCATTTGAAAAATCTTTTTTGATATAGCTTTAATTGTTTGCACTTTTTCAGCATCAAGTGACTGAGTAATTTGGGAATCCACTCTAGAATAGTCATTTCCATTTTCAACCATTTCATTACAAATAGCTTCATGGTTATAATGTAAATGTGGCACAATAGCTTCTATTATCTTATTTGTTACTGACGCCAGAACTAAGTAGAGTCCACGTAATTCTCTGGAAGAAGCTTTTCCTGATATCATAGTGAATAAAAGCATTAGCTCCATACACACTTTATATGGCTTCTTCAAGACAAGAACCTTTTATCATATACCCAATGCTACCCATAATACTCGTGAGCATATGGAGTCCTCCAAGCTGGCACGAAATATTCATTGATTTACACTTTATTTTTTCGTAGCTTTCATCCATAATGGTTGGTCAAATGTTATACAAGGAGTGTATATTCCCATTTTTTATGAAAACTATAGTTGAGTGTATGCAGGTATCAGCATTAGGAGGTAAATCAATTATGGGAAGAAGGACACTAGAATTTGGTATCACTTCATCCTATGTGTAATACATGCTACACAAAGCCAGACCAATTTGACTTTAGTGCAGACTTTTGACTTAATGATAGCCCAAAATTCCATAATAAATTAAAGCACATTATATATGGATAGTGTAAGGAAAGTGCAATTGGTCTATTTGTTTTAAAATAGTCCTGTCTAAAGGATTTGATATTGTGGTGTTAACATATTGGGAAATTACAATGCAATTGTTGGATATTAAATCACTGACTCATCCTTTCTGAATTTCTTTTAACCTGTTGTGGTTGCGTTTTCAGCGACAAAATCTTCTAAGAAGTTGAAACAGCAATCATGCCCGTTCCATGAAATGTACCTTGGCCATCTACAGTGGCAATATTCTGATCTACATTGTCAGCCACCCATTGAGTAAAAGAACCAGGAAAAGACTGGCTAATAATTTTTTCTAAATTTTTTTGTATTAGTGACTGTTTGTATTTCAATGTAAGATATTGAAAATCCAAGCCATTTGGAACCAAATACATAATCAATTTCCATTACCTTACCAAATAAAATGGGTGCAATAACTGACTTTGGACGAGTTGACTGAATTATGAAATGACCAATACTGTTTGCTTCATTTATGATCAAGTAACAATATCCAGGAAACATTTTAAGACATGTGGTATCGACTATTTGTAATATCTTCAGTGCTATGACACAAAGTTGTATCTTACGTTTGTTCTCTGATTTCTGCTTTAGTCATATTTGCTACTGCTTTGTATGAGTAATTGTTCTGCTTCATGAATACTATCTCTTTTGCTGAATGACATTTTGTCTATAATATGTGACCATAATTGACAAAAGGGCCCTTATGGCGGATTTTAAAATTGATTGTTATAATGGAAAATATCAACCTGTGAGTGCTTTGTTAGACAATCATTGTTTCTAAAAGTTTTATGGTAACTTTTTGCATCCTGTGGAGTAATTTTATGATAAATGGGGCTCAGGAAAGTGGATTTTTTAGGCTAGAAAGACAAATTTCACTACCCGCCATAAGGTACCTTTTGTCAATTATGGTCACATATATTTAACCATGTTTGTAAAGCATACTAATGTGCCTTGGTCTTCAACTTCTGTAATAGTGTGCCTTGGTCTTCAACTTCTGTAAAAACAACACCATATCGTTCAACCAGCTTTTGTTTTCCTTTCAGTAGAATAAATGTTATTATTATTTGATGAGGCAGACATTTCTGTATGTCATTGAAAGATTGCATACATATTTCTGCATCTCCTGATTCAACCCACATGCATAACTTTTCGAAATGGAAATTCATGTTTTCACCAATTGGTCTCATTTACTGACAACAAAGGAATGTCACACATACATTATGATTGGAACAATGCTAGAGACATTACTTACAGTATTACAACTAACAGGAGTGGTAGTACTGGCACTGTAGCTGAAGTTTGAAGTAGACATGCTAACACTGTAGTTGTAAGACGTTTTATGTAATACAGAATGAACAAATTACTTATTGCATCTGACAAAAAGTTTTTTTGAAAATTTATGGTATCCAAAATAACAGAAAAGTTCCGTGTACATCTAATTTCTACTCAAATTCATAATTTTGGCAATGTTTGTTTATTAGCAAGATAGATGTACAGAATATAAAAAAGAAAGCATAATATAATGTCATAAAAACCAAGTAAAGGAAAGATACCTTTATCTATGTCCATCAACAATACTTCTTGACCACAATGTTTCACTCGATTTTTGAGCAAATTTAAAAATTGATAAAAAAATGAAATTTTATCTCAATTGGCTCAAATTATCAATGCAACATAAGTACATGTATATGCATCAGAAAACATAGTATTAATTGAACATTTCTCTCCTTGTCATTTTTGATTAAATTTGATCAGTATCCCTGAATATAGTACCGGGTTTTTGGCTTAATTTTTAAGCAATTTGACAATCCATTGACAAGAACCTGTATCAGCACTATGCCAAATCTGTTAAAGAACCCTAACTCTAAGTATTATTGGCAATGTTATATTGGGTTATAATAAACAATTCTACTTTTTCCCAATGCATGTATATACTGTTAATAGGTACTGCATACTTCTGTCTTCTCATGTTTGTGTTCCTTGACTCCTGTTCTTGTGCATCTTTGTCTCTTTTCTCTCCTTTGCCTTTCTCTCCTCCTCATACACACGTATGCATATGTCTAACTTTTGCTCTTTCTCATTCCTTTGATAAGTCTCTCACATGTCTTCGTGTTAACACAGTTTTAGTATCAGTAACCAACTGTAAATACCATACACATACATTAATGTATACAAACATTGTTGTTATTATAATAATTATTATTATTATTTTTTAGTACATTGGTGTATCACAGATATTGGGACTTGCTGCAATGTGGCAACAGGAATGCAAATAAAATGCTAAAGAAATTGTAACAGTAAGACACAATGCACACTATAGTGCTCTTGTGTACAGTGCATATACTGAGAGTGACAGGGAGTATAGTGTCTTATTGAATCTATGTACATTTAATTATTTAGGATATGTCCAACAAAGTATCATTAATGCTGTGTTGCATTGGCTGAAACATAATGATGGTAAGTGATATGTAATGTATATGTATTTAAGTCTATGGATTCCTGGGTAATTGTAATTGTAATTGTCACAGGCCTACATGTATAACACTGACTCACTAATTGAATAAAGGTACAGGTACATATACATGTGAATGAATGCCAATGCCACTATGACTCAAATAAACAATTTATCACAGCCATTACCATTACTGAAAATCAATACTTTTGTAATAAATTTGAATTACCATTGCAATTCATTGCTATGCACCTCTCTTCCTTTTTACCCTTTTTCTTTACGTTAGTGCCTCAATCTTGCAATGTACCTCTATCTTGCAATGGACCAAGGTACCACTGATGTCATCACATAATGAGTCTTACATAATTCAAGTAAGGTCCAGTACATATTTCCCTTGTTATGTTTCTTTTCTGTGATTTTAGGACAAAGGCGTCAAGACAACACTAAGACTAATAACTTATCTATTAAATTATTTTTTTTTATTATTATTATTTTTCAAATGAAATATTTGGCACTATGCAGGAAATGACCTTCATTAAGCAACACGCATCATAAAAGTGCAAATGAATTATTTTTACCATACATTCTCAGTTGCATTCTTGTATGTTATTTTTTTAATTTAAATTGCCAAAAAATATTTTTAAATATAATTATTTGTTACTACTATATATGAAGCAAAGGCATGCAATATGAAGCAGTTCATGAGGCAAGGTTTTTGGACTTGATCCACTCCAAAGATCAGAGATGTAGCAATACATAAGTTGCATAATGATCATTTTTTATTTTCAAGTATGTTAGCAGTGCAATTCTGACTGTTGTCTGGTATCAGCAGGTAGGCATGCATGATTACTTGTTTTGAAAAATAAAAGTACTAATATTGAATAAACAACTACAGAGATAATCAGCTAAACATACTTTCTGCATGCTTAATGAGAGGGTGGGGCTGAAGTTTTTTAGCTGAAAACTCCAAGGTTTTACATCAGAAGTCCCAAAAAATGGAATGAAGTTCTTAACCCATTAATTAGCTAGTGCCACAGCAAGGTTAAAAGTTAAACACAATGATCAACAAAATTTGTCTTAGCAGTTTATATCTGATTTGCTTTTCTAGCCCTGTAAATCAATAAATTGTTACATTATGTCTGAAACAAAGTTATAGTCAAAAGTAGTCAAAATATGAAATTTGGTTCCAACAAACTCTTAACCTTGCTGTGGCACTTGTATTAAGAACTTCATTCCGTTTTTTGGGACTTGTGATGTAAAAACCTTGGAGGTTTCAGCTAAAAACCTTCAGCCCCACCCCCTCATTAAGCATGCAGAAAGTATGTTTAGCTGATTATTTCTGTAGTTGTTCATTCAATATTAGTATTTTCATTTTTCAAAACAAGTAATCGTGCATGCCTACCTGCTGATACCAGACAACAGTCAGAATTGCACTGCTCACACACTTGAAAAAAATCATTGATCATTATGCAACTTATGTATTGCTTCATCTCTGATCTCTCGAGTGGATCAAGTCCAAGGACCTTGTCTCATGAACTGCTTCATATTGCATGCCTTTGCTTCATATATAGTAGTAACAAATAATTATATTTAAAAATATTTTTTGGCAATTTAAATCAAAAGAATAACATACAAGAATACAACTGACAATGTATGGTACAACAATAATTCATTTGCACTTTTATGATGTGTGTTGGTTAATGAAGGTCATTTCCTGCACAGTGCCAAAAATTTCATTTGAACAATAATAATTATAAAAAAACAAAATAATTTAATAGATAAGTTATTAGTCTTAGTTTTGTCTTGACGCCATTGTCCTAAAACCACAGAAAAGAAACATAACAAGGGAAATATGTACTGGAGCTTACTTGAATTATGTAACACTCATTATGTGATGACACCAGTAGTACCTTAGTCAATTCAAGATTGAGGCACTAAAGAAAGAAAAAGGGTAAAAAGAAAGAGAGGTGCATAGCAATGAATTGCAATGGTAATTCAATTTTATTACAAAAGTAATGATTTTCAGTAATGGTAATGGCTGTGATAATTTGTTTATTTGAGACATAGTGGCAATGGCATTCATGCACATGTATATGTACCTGTGCCTTTACTCAATTAGTGAGTCAGTGTTATACATGTAGGCCTGTGACAATTACAATTACAATTACCCAGGAATCCATTGACTTAAATACATGTATGTTACATATCACTTACCATCATTATGTTTCAGTCAAAGCAACACAGTATTAATGTTACTTTGTTGGACATATCCTAAATAATTAAATGTACATAGATTCAATAAGACACTATACTCCCTGTCACTCTCAGTACATGCACTGTACACAAGAGTACTATAGTTTGCATTGTGCTTCACTGTTACAATTTCTTTAGCATTTTATTTTCCCACATTGCAGCAAGTCACAATATCTGTGATAGACCAATGTACTATAAAATAATAATAATAATACCAACAATTTTTGTATACATTAATGTATGTGTATCGTATTTTGCAGTGGCTTACTGTTACTAAAACTGTGTTAACACAATAAAGAGAAAAGACATGTGAGAGACCTAGCAAAGGAACGAGAAAGAGCAAACGTTAGACATATGCGTACATGTGTATGAGGAGGAGAGAAAGGCAAAGGAGAGAAAAGAGACAAAGATGCACAAGAACAGGAGTCAAGGAACACAAACATGAGAAGACAGAAATATGCTGTACCTATTAACAAAACATACATGCATTGGGAAAGAGAAGAATTGCTTATTATAAACCAATATAACATTGCCAATAATACTTAAGAGTCAGGGTTCTTCAACAAATTTGGCATAGTGCTGATACAGGTTCTTGTCAATGGATTGTCAAATTGCTTAAAAATTGAGCCAAAAACTCTGTACTATATACAGGGACACTGATCGAATTTAATCAAAAATGACAAGGAGAGAAATCTTCAATTTTTATTATGTTTCCTGATGCATATACATGTACTTATGTTGCAAAGAAAATTTGAGCCAATTGAAATAAAATTCAGATTTTTTATCAATTTTTAAATTTGGTTAAAAATTGAGCGAAACATTTTGTAGTACATAGTATTATAGTACAAAGGCAAATTTGAGTCCAGAACTTCCAAATTTCTGTATTACATGCATACATGTACAACAGCATTCACCAAATTTTATCAAAAATACAAAGAGGGAATATTATCAATTTTACAATGTTTTCTGATACACATACATGTACTTAAGTTGCGTAGAAACTTTGAGCTGATTCCATTCGAAATTAAAATTTTAAATAAATTTTTTAATTTATTGCAAATGTCATGTACTGCGCTGTGGTGCTAGTTGGCTCACAAAACTCATGCTGTTTGGCTTACTTAGCATTCTTTGTGGGAAACCCTGTTTAGACTACATGATTGATAATTGTGGAACCTCAAGGACATACGTGTATTGTATATTAAGCCTGGGATAATTCATGTGCATGCAAAAAACTTCATCATGTTCGCAATTATAATTACTACTGTAGTAACGACTACTATGGGTGTTATAGCGATGGACAATGATCTATTACTCCAAGGTTCAACAAAAGACCATCAACCAAAGAAAGAACATGTGTGTGTGTTGGAGTCACTGAATTATATCATACATTATTAACAGTTATTACATACAAAGTACACTATTAGTTCTTTAGCATTACTACACAACCCCCCTTTTAAAGGAATGCGTCCCGCATTAATGAGATATAAAGGGGCCTCTGTCAGGAGGAAAACGATGTCTTGTAGGGTAATGAGGAGAATGATGGGAAGGTGAGGTAAACAAGGATGGAGTAGGGGAAGAAAGGGTTGAGTAAGATTGAGTATCACTACTGTCCACATTGGAACTAACCATTGGATCTGTACCATACAGAGGGCTATCAACAGAGTCTCTAAAGAGATCCTCAGCAGGAGGAGTGTCATTAAATAAGTCATCCTCAGGGTAGACCAACAATCTTGCATGTTCACCAATACGATGATCCCTGTGAGCT